GGAGCGCGGGGTTCGTGAAAGGGGGGGTTTGATATTTAGGCCCGTGGGCATATCACAATCTGCCGCATCAGCCGATGTCTGGAGTCAAGACTATCAATTGTCCTTATAACTGCTCTAATTTCCATCCGGATAGCTGAAACTGACGATATTCAAGACATGTAACCGAGGGTGGGGAGTCAAGGCTGCTCAGTTCATTGGTAGGGGCACGTTCATTGGAGAGTATCTTGGCGAGCTCATGACGTCCCGGGAAGCACTCGATCGCCATCCAGTGAACTACGCCTACCTATTCGATCTCAAGCCCCTCAGAGACAGGGAAAGCCAGAACGCGGTTGATGGAGCCAAGTACGGGAACTTCACGAGATTCTTCAACCACAGCGTGAGTGGATAGAGCGGAGAATGTGGAACTGGACGTTGATTGGCTTCCGTGCCGGAATCGTAGAGCGCCACGGCCCCTCGTCTCCGCGTCACTTCGCTGATCCGTGTTCTCTTGCAGTGCCAGCCGAACTTGAAAGTGAGTTACGCTTACATCGAGAACCATAATATCGCTGCGCCCCGATTAGCCTTTTTCGCGAAGAAGAACATACAGATCGATGAGGAGCTGACATTCGATTACCAGATGACGAGTAAGGATCCATCCACCGCAGAGAATGGAATAGGGAACGAACTGTTATCTGAGTATATTCCGTCAATTCGGAACCTCCCGGAACCACCTAATGATCGATGAATTTTTTTCTCAGCCTTCGACGGCGATGGTGATCTCCCGCGAATGCCTTGCCAATGCCAGACACAAAAGTGCAAGAAGTTCCTCTTTTGAAAAAGCGTTCATCATCGGCTCCTTTCGTTCAGAGGACGTACGTAGATGACAGCCCTGTCGAACGTTTCCCCTCTATGAGTCGGTGGTGGAATTGTAGTTTCCGAACATGACTTCACATGATTTGTCTCAGTTTTCGCTCGCGACGGAAATGACAGCACACTCGCGAGCCAGCCATTGAAGATACATTAAAATCAGCGAATCACCCGTCGGAAAATCGGAGACAAACTCGAAAGTTCAGATCTGAGAGTGATTCAATGGTTTCTTAGTTTGGCTGATCTCGCCTCTAAGGTGTTTCGCATCGCCTTGCTCGTTCTGGGGCATTCTCACTGAGCAACACAAGCGCAGTCATAATCAATAAGTATTCGTAGACGAATAATGGTAATGCCATGCTATTTATGCGGAATTCCCCCGTGGTATATTCGATCAGGGTCCATTTCGTTGCACCCAAGAATCGAAGCCCGAGCGGCTCCGCTCGCCTCTCGGACTGTGAAATAATAGCATGACACGGTAATTTCTCGGTCATGGTCTTCCCGAGATACTGTGAAGATCAATGCTGTGAAAAATCATTGAGATGTGGTTTTGTGTGAAATATCTTCGACATGGATTATTTATCGGATCAATTCTTGATCTTGTTAAATAAAAGGTATCTTCTAACAGGATCGACTGAGGATTCGCCTATAATGGTCAGAGGCGCTCTTCCTCGATTTCTCGGAAGAGGCATCGGATGGAAACAAAATGTTCATGTCTCTCTCATACGCTGTCAAAGCCTCTTATCGGTTGTGGCCGAACATGGCCTGGAATTCACCGAAGTCAACTTTCCCATCTTTATCGGTGTCTGCCGACCGCATCATTTTCTTTATTTCCCCTTCATTCAGGTCGAGGAGCTCGGCCGCAGCCTTGAGGTCCCTCCGCGAGATGAATCCGTCGCGTCCTGTGTCGATTGCATCGAATGCAGCTCGCAGAGTCGACGTTGTCGCCTCGACTCGACTAACCCCGCAGAGTCTGTCGAGTATCTGGAAGGAAAAAAACGAAATCGGAATTCGCTGGACCAGGTCTTCTCTTCGATAGATGTGACTGCGGGCCACTTCAGAGCCGATCCCCAGATGTGGGACGCATGTAGGTCAACAGACCTGAGTGAACTGATAGAGATCCAGCTGGTTGGAATTATCTTTAAGGGCTCGCTCGAACTTCTTCATGTAGTCATCTCTGAAGAGGTTGAGTTCTCTCAGAATATTTGCGATCCGCTCACGGTCGACGGCTCGCTCGTCTGACTGATGTTTCCTGAAACATTTTTGAACTGTTCCGAGCTCGATGTCTCGAGCATTCTTCGTGGTTCCTTGGTTGCCCTCGGGTTCTGATTCAGCGGCGGAGGACATCGTTCGTTGTCATCAATGTTTACCGATCGCATACGAACCATATCAATTGAGCTCCCGACAAGCTAACCGAACTGAACGGCCGAGAGACGACGGAGAAATTCGAAAGTTCGCAAAGGAAACATCCGTTTAGGGTAGAGACCCTCTCGGAGGACCGTGTCTCTCAGAATGGCTTCTATGAACCGTCGCGGGGTCTTCAAGTTAGCCCGTTTCGCGGTGAGCGAGAACGTCCACGCAACAGCGCTCATTCGTTTTCTATGCCGAGGAGGAGTGGTCATATCGCGCGGAAAGAAGGCACACAGTGAGACTAATGACTCATTTCGAGCGAGATTCCTCTACAGAGATTTGAGGATGGAGGTCGGTAGACTGTCAACTGAAGATTCAGACTCCGAGCTCCCGCCGAGTGAGAGAGGATTCTGAGGCTGAAGTCGGGGTGGCCCGAGGTCCTTTCCTCTCCGTAAGATTCGATGCGGGGGCATCGTGCTCGACGCGGTCGAGTTCTTCGGATCGTGGGGACTAGACGTCCCCGCAGAGGGCGAGCAGAGTGGGGGCTGCGAGCCTAGGGTTGGGTATCCCGGAAAATCGAGACTATCCGCTTTTGATGTCCCGTTCCATCTTGCAAATACGTATATTATCATGGGACTGTATTCCATATGTTATGGGAAGCTCAAAAAGCTTATGCCTCCATGTCTCTGGGCAGTAGACGAAGTATGTGCCGGAATCCAAATGTAGCATTCCTCAGTACTCTTCCCCGGAAGCCCAAACAAGCCTGAAACACTCGGTCGAAAGATTTTCGACGGAGACATTACGAGACACGCACTCAACAAGTCGTAAAGTTCATTGAACTGCTATTGGTATCTCGTAACAATGTCATACGAATGACAGAACGACCACATTCGGTTACGTAAAATACGCGAGACGTTCACAACAACACGCGCCGAGCTGGAACCTTGTTCACCACTCCTCCGCGACCAGCCGACGCTTCTTTGGAAATGAGTGCTCCCATTGAATTTCCAAGCAGAGAAAAAGCTCGAAGCGATCAGTGACTCATGACTCCGCGGCGAATACTCTCTCGCATAAAATCCAGGTGATCGTCCCGAAATGCATCTCGCGCTCACTGCATGTCTCAGAGCAATTATTCACCGTTGGCAGTACATTTACATTTTCCAGTGAGGCTTCACAAATTCGGCAAGGCGTTCGTCCTCTTGTTTTCCGCGCGTCAGATTTTCTGCCTGCTCATATTCGGCATGGAATCGGGGAGATGAACTGATTCCATCCCTTCACCTCTTATGTTCCGACTCAGCAGCCCTCATCCCATTTTGAGCTGCTTACACAGGATGATTTTCTTGAATGACGGGGTTTCGCCGTCCTCCGATGAGAATCGATCCTCGTGACTTTTTCGGGAGCGCTCGGTCAGCCCTCGGTCTCGACGCGAGCGATTGTGATAAATTCGAGGCTCTTCCGCTTTCGAGAACTATCGAATGCAGTCTACCAGATTTTGCTTTAAGGCAGACGAACGCCGGCCGCTTCAAGTTGACCCTGTTCCATGGATCTGTCGAGTGCATTCTTTGTTTTTCGTGACACTGGCCGATTCAACGGTAGCACTGCATTTCTTGACCGAATCGCTCCGGAGCCGACTTGCGAAACAAGCACTTTCAGCAGACGTTGACAGCGACCCGACTCCTTCCGTCTGTCCGAGAGACTTCCAGTCAGCCAGGGGATTTCTGTAGAAGTTTTTGCATCGAGCGAGATAATTCCGCCGGGTCACCGCTTTCCGAAAAAGGTTATGTATTCGGTCAGAATGTATGTCTAAGAGAGAAACAAGAATGGGACTGATTCATGTTCAGCGCTATCGTCAACAAAGTCCTGCAGAAACTTCAGACGATTATCGGTCTGCTGTGGGAAGACTCTGGGGCGGATCATTCCATCGCGCTCTTTCGATTCGCCGATCCACAAAGGTGAAGTCTGGACAGGGACTCCGTCGAGAGCTCAGTCAGGGGAGTGTTTTCGAGCAAAGAGCCTAAGGAACAGTCGATTCAGCCTGAAAACTCTAGCCTGGCTCATACTTACCATTATTACTAACTACTCAACAATGGATCTTCGAGGTGCAGGGCACGGAAGTCGTGTGATATATCTCGCGGAAATTTTCGAGACTTAGTAGTGCCCAATGAGTCTAATCATCGACGCCTCAAACGCGACGGAATGATCTGCGCGGGCGTTCCGTAGGACTTCTGTGTCGTGTCAAGAAGCGAGCGACGGATAAGCACAAAAGAGCTTCGCTGAACAATTTACATTGGGGCACTCTGCTGAAATTCGGAAAAGTCCGTCCATATAACTAAGGAGGTTCCCTGGGTTTCATGGTTCCTAGTCCGCAGATTAAGATTCGATTGCGACTCCTCGTCAAAGCATCCTACGACACAATTCATCCCCTGTCGTCACCAGCACACATATCATCCGCCGGACGGGGGTTTGAACAGCGGCCGGGCGAGCCGCCGTGATCCACTCTCCCACCTGCACGGCGCTTTGCAGTCGACGGCGAAACTTACTCCATCGTCGTAAGACGCGCGCCGCCAGAAGCATTCGTCGGTCGAAGCGCGTCACATCACCATTGCATCGACTGACTGAGACGGCTATCGATGCCGTCGCGCTGATACTCACAACAACGCCATCTGTGCTCATATTCCGATCTGCGCGATCGCTCCTCTGTATTTTTTCGAAGTTTCCATATTCCGATAGTTTCAAACGGCGGAGTAGCCCATGACCAAGTGTCCGAACGCGTGCGCCTGTGAGTGTGAATTCGAGGAGATCGCGATCTAAATTCGCGTTCGACCCTCGGAGAACGTGATATCAACTACGACCGACGGGAACAGCAGCTGAAATACCAGAGAGCGCGGCAAACGAATCCGACGGATCAGTCTCTCGTAGTCGAACGCGAGCGGAACAATCCTTTGCAGAAAAGGAGCACCATGTACTGTTGAACTGTTGCTCGCTGATCCGCGGTGATTTAGCGGTAGTCTGTGAAGGTTTACGGTAGACGTTGAGCCAGAGGCCGACGGTAGACGGTGACCGGGAACTACAGTTTTGTGCTTGTGGAACATCGCGCCGCCGGTGAGTGTATCGAGCTCTCTGAATAGTTCAAGCTTGAGTGAATTTTGTCTTCGCAACTTCCGATACCACTTCGAGGACAATGGTGAAGGAAGAAATAAAGAGAAACGCCCAAGATCCTTGTGTGTGGAACGAATTTCGAAGTTTCGGGTCATCTCGTCTCACAGAGTGAATATAACTTCAAGAAGGCGGGATTTGTTTCCTCACCCAGCCGATCGAGCGAGACTTGGCTTGCCGGGAGGCCACAGCTCGATGGCTCTGCAAGGTCCACCCGAGACCGAAGTTTCATTTTCCGGAACGAAATTCTCTATTCCACGGCTCCACTGATATTCCGTTTAGCTCCGCATACGGAACTCGACAGCAGGAAGACTATGGGTATCGCACGAGCTTTAGGGGTGTCCGAATTCGACTGGATCCATCGAGCGCTTCGCTCTCGCTCGCTGCTCAATATCGAAGTCGCGACACGGGGAAAAACGTCTCGGGACTCTTCCTCCGCAGAAACAGCACCATAACGCCATCATTCGGCTGAAGTGTTGCGAAAGAATGCCAGACCGGGTTTCCTTTATTTTTACCTTTCTTACATTGCCCGGAAGACGCAGCGCGATCACCGAACTTTGTAGCTCGACGAAGGCGCTTCGCTTCGAAGCTAGCCCGGAGTAGCGTAACTTTATTTACCTACTTGATGAGATGGCTCGGCGGGATGAGGCTTTTTAACACAGAACAATGAAAATTAGACGGAAGTCTTAAAGATTCCCGGTAGGGCGAGGATTCGTCTGTTATGACGAAGAGCGGAGAAGCGTACGCGGAGGAGAACGGTGATGATCACCGGCAAAATACTCAGCCACTACGGCAATTTGGCACAACACACGTCATTACTTCGCCAGATACTTCAGCATCTGAGTGCCGTTCAAGGACGGGTTGTGGTGCATTCTATCGTGACGTTTTTTTCTTCTCTTGGTAACCGCCGAAACCAGACTTAGCCGACAGCGAGGTAGAAAGCTAACCGTCGCGCTGCCTCATAAAAAACCGAAGGTTAGTGTTCCCGTCCTGGAACTATAGCATGGTGTCCGCGAAATGCTTCAGTTCAGTTCCCGTCCGGGATCGCTTCCCGAGTTCGACGCAGAAAGACAGCGGTCTTTGTGTTCGCTCTTTATGAGTACTACAAGACGCGGTCATTGTTGCCCGAGTGGGCGTAAACTTTCCCGAGCATCGTTTCGTTGAGATCCCGCTCAGCGAAACCATAATCGGATTGAGACTTGATTCTTCGACGGAATTGAAGAAGGAATTCCGGATCGAGTCATATTCGGGAGTCCGAGCACAAGTCCTATAATTTTAGCCTCAGTCCCAAGCTGATAATTTCTTTCACACGTTCTTGCTCCGATAATGCGTATCACTTCGACTCGAGAATTGGCCGGAAGAGCGGCAGAAACAGAAGACGCAATCGGTCGCGTCTTGTCGCGCGCAGACTCGATTTTGTGTGTATTGCTCCGAGATCTCGGGAAACGCTCGCTTCTCGAACGGAGGGCCTATAATCGGCTTACGCGTATCGACTTGCGACGTATCAGGAATTCTGAAGCGGCTTCCCGGCATGTCGAGACCTTTGCGGTCATGATAAGAATGCGTCAGGTCCGATCGCGTGATTACCAACAGCGATCTAAATGCGATCGATGGCCACGCAGTCAGGCTGTCCGCGCAGATGGGAGAAACGCACCCGACTTTCGTTTCCCTACCCTTGCGATCTCACGGTCTCGAGGGTGCTCACATGAGCATCAGCGATCTCGTGATCGGTTTCCCGATCTAGAATGCACTGAAGCGACTCCTATGGAAGCGAAGTAGACGTATCGGCGAAAGTAAAGCCAACGCCGAAAGTCTGAATTCGGCGAAACCCCTTGGAGCTCACATTCGTTAAAAATTCCGATCGGAGGGACTCGAGCACATAGTGGGCATCTTAGGGCGCTGACGAGAAGTTCACAGACCAGCCATGACCGAACGATTCGAGCCTGAGCGAGATCGGCCACGCACTCCCCGCTCTATAACTTTTGCGGAACATAAATAATAATTTCCGACCCTTCCAGTTGAGAATGGATCACGGGAGTCATCCCCACATGGACCAAACCTCAGCGGGACATGTCATGGGCGTACCTCATGCAATACATATCCCCATGATGCAGATGACGTTCAACTTCTCGGATGACGTCACTTTGTTGTTCGATTGGTGGCATCCCAAAGATGTCCTCGGTGAGTCAGGAATCGAAATTCCGACCTGGACGTCTCGAGTGACGTCCACGTCACGATTTCATGCGTCACCACTCTAGATTCTGACATGGGAGTAGGATCTCCTATGCAGGCTAGGGTCGGCCGGGGGTTTTACTGTGGGAGGGATTGTTCACGATTCAGGAGCCGTCACTACAAAACCCAATGAGGGAATTAAAATCAAATTTGTCGACTCCAGGAATGCTGGTATCATGCGCAGTTATCTTCGCCATGGCAGCCACACTCGAGATGCTCCGCGCGTTCCGGGACGCGATGTATGTGAGGTCGCGACAGACGGGATCTTCTTCCTCGCTCATAAGCTCGAGCAGCATGTCGTGGACTTCAGCGATTTTCGCACCCTGTCATATTACTCAAACGATTCTATACTTCATCCAGGTGAGACATTCGTTAATTTAGTCAAAAGTGTCATATCGAGACATCTCCCTCGTTTTCATTCCCCGGAATAACCTCAAGAGCTCGCACACATGCCCACTGCCCAAACTCTGGCAAGGCTTGCACGAAAAATATCGCTCAGTTAATCAGAAGACTTCCTGATGGTATCCGGATTAGAGAGCGAGGTTCCGCAGCGAGATAAGGGTCTGGACACCGGAGACTAGCTCCATGTGCTTGGCGAAACTAGACGTGTCAATGTTGCCTCCAATCAGAAGCCTCTTTGCCTCTTCAGGTTGTCGCCGGATACATGCTCATGCTCCTTTTCATGACATTCAACGGCTATGTCTGCATTGCCATCGTACTCGGAGCTACGGTCGGACATTTCGCTTTCGGTTGGAGAAAATCCATGCTTTTCGAAGTCACCGCCGACCATTGTGGATAGATAATTATAATTTCCTCAATCCCACTGGAATCGTCAGGATACCAGACCCAGAAGAAATTCACAAGGCTGTTCTTGGGACCGTCATTTCGGGGGGTCGATCTAGTTTCTCAGTCTTCACGTGTCGACTCACAGCGGGATAAGTATGTATTTCTTGTTCAGGGGACGACCGTGCAATAAAACAATGGGCAGATGTCAGTACTCGGGGCGTTCTAAATTATTGGGGGTCTCGACACCATGCGTTTCTACAAGCTCTCACTACGAGTCCAGGAAGATGCGTTCCGAGGAGCAAACTGCTGAGTTGCCGCAGTGGATATTCGTGATCGGAGCAGACAGCGCGTAGCTAATGGAAGCCAGCCGAAGCGTGGCTCATTCTGTTTCCGATTCAGCCACTCCTCTCGGAAACCATCAAACTAGAAACTGAAAACCGACACTTCGCCTACCCTCCAAGGCTTCTATGGCCCTATCGCAACAATTCCAGGAATCAGCAAGGATTGTATTACTTCGATTATCAGGGTTATATCGGGAGGATATATTCAGTACTGCACGATGATCTAGAACTCGAGCCAGCTGTGGCAATCGAATTCGCCGTATCTATTCTGTTCGCGAGTGATTTATTCAACGCCAAGAATTATGCAGAGATGAGACCGACACCACGTTCGGCCCTAAGAGATCAGAATGAGCCACGATTCCCGGACTACGATTCTGATCAAGCCCGTTGAGCTCCTCCGAAGCTTCGTCCCGCTTGCACACACCATACGTTCCTGTGAACAAAGCCGTCTCACTTTCGTTTTTGAGCCAGTTAAGTAGTGCCAGACGAAAGCGGAAACGAATGCATTCCGTAAACGGATCTCGAAGCGGACGTGTTCGAGTGTTCCGAGGCCGGGCCCGAATATTCGGCGGCCGATGGAATCGAGCGAGAGCTACGCTCATTCCACAGACGAAGGGCCTTGCGGACTAAACCCTGGGGGTGATCTGAACGCCGTGTTAGGGGTCGCGAGATATTTTTGCTTATCGATGAACTCGCATTGAGGAATGGGACTCATCCCAAATTGGTCGCGAGCGCAGGACTCCGCAGCGAATTCAGCTCCCGGTCAGAACGATGAAACGCGAAATTTCTCACTCTTTGTGCTCCATGGGTTGATGCGCACACCATTCCCACGGGGGGAGCGAATAAAGGGGGAAACGCCCCCCTCGAACGGATCCCGCATACATACTTTCCAATGCTTAAGGAAAACCCAGGTCAGACGCAACGGACACATCGGAAGAGAACTCAGCATCTTCGAAAGAAAAATCTGCATTCTCCCCTTGCGAGAAGCGCATCAAAACCTCAATCTCAATATCTACAAAATCCTTGATTTCTCATTTTCTCATACTCCCTTCATAGCCCATGACCGTTTCGGAATTAGTCTCGCGACACATCTTTGAAGATGAGAAGGTCTGATTCTTCTAAGAGAAGAATTCCAAGAGCTGATTCTCATTAAACATCTCCTCGACCGTTTTCCCGCCGCTCTCTCGATCCGCATTGATCCACACGCGTCTTCGCGAAAACCCGGAGCTAGAAAAAATCGAAGCGGATCCAAGTGGGCGAATCTCATCCCTCGAGGCTTTTCCAGGTGTAGCTCACTCGCTCAGTCTGGCTGCTCGACTCTAGCAGTATTCTCCGGAAGTCTCACGAACTCATCTTTGTTCCGTGGCATCCGTATGATCTATTTAGGCACTAAATTTTCGCGATGCGGCGCGGCGAGGCGATGAAGGCTGAAGGGGGGAGAGGGGGCGGCTGCGAGCGGATGACCTCTCGAGTCACGCGCGTCTGGAAATTTTCCAACTGAAATCCCGTTCGGGTTCATCGTCGCCCAGAGTTCGGGAGTGCGAGGCGCCCGACTTCGCTAAGCGTCAAGCAAAGATCATCTACATCACTGTTCCAGCTACCCGACGACCGACGAGATATACGATATACCCATACTTGACGAATCTCGATTATTGCTCAGGACCTTCCAGCGCTGTGTCTGCAAAGAATGGACCAATATCTGAGTTCTTTCCCTGCAAAAGATGAAGCAGAAATTCTGAGTTCTGGCGCTGGAGACGACTTGAGATACTCGCGTCTGGCAGCTGCTGCTCGCGCCGCTGATGTTTTACCACAGATGCGGCTTGATAGCTGCCTCTGCTGACTCGCTTTGCTGCTGATTGTGTTGTTGGGTCGGTCGGTCGCTAGCTCCCCTCGGGTCGTTTTGCTTCACTCTACGAGAGGATAAGAGGCGGACACACAAGGAACTCGTCGACACACTGACCGGAGCGGGGCTGAGAATCTGATTGCGCTGTTCTCAGCAGAAGAGATCGGGCGTAAGCTCCGCTTGAGCGGATTTGGACGTCGAACTACCTCGGCATTCGAGAGATCTCGGAATCGCGGTTGTTTGAGCCCAAGGCCGTCGTTACAACTATGGATGTTTTTGTTATGGTCCGACGGAAGCAAACCACGATCTTCATTGATGCGAAGGAATCGACGACAATTTTGGAGCTCAAGAAGATGATCCAGGGCATCTTGAAGGTAAATACTCATTGGAATTCTCTAGAATAAGTGCGCGTGAGCTCTCAAGCTATGGCTGTAAACCCTGAGAGGTTCGACGAAACACTTGAAACATCCGCGGCTACACCGGGGACCCGGAACTCCGAATTTGAGCTCTCCAATGCCAGCGTATCTAGAAAGAAGCTGCGTCACTCCCTATCTGGCGACTCTCCTGATGGGTTACGGAAGAGCCTCGGCTCAGTATTTATCGGGAAATTCCACGGATAGCATTCAAAATCTCTACACCGTATCAGGCTCTGCTCTTACTCCTGCGAGACTTGCAAATCTCGATCAACTCCGTCGCCCTGATAAATACTGAGGCACTGCTGCGACCGACGCTGTCGGCCGGATTGGGTGTCTCTGTGACGGCTCGATTGTTTTATGCGCACACAACTACCTTTACAGGTTGCACCAGAAGAACAACAATTGTTCCACAACGAAACTCTGCTCGAAGAAAACAAGAGCCTCGTCGATTGCGGACTGAATACTAACACGGCCAGAGCGCAGTCTCCAGCCACTATCGGATTGGCGATCGGCAAGGAACCTCTGGAAATAACGCAACTCTCCTTACCGCCGGAGCTTCCCGACGTAATGAAGGGACAAGACTCCGCTGTAGATCCCGCTTGTGCTTAGAGAGACTCGGAGCAGTCTTTTACTAATCGTGCCGTGAAGAATGTTTCATCCGCTGAAGGAAGGAGTGTACCGAACTTGTGCGGCAGGTGGTCGAATTCGAGTAAGGATGGAGTTTCACATTATGCTTGGAGAGCTCATCGATTCTCTATGAGTGTTGCTCTCGTTGACATTGTAATTTAATGTGTAAAGGTATTTTCATGTACATCGAATAAAGCACCCATCCTACCGTCAATGCGTGAGTCAAGTGCGTCTGACGGGGTCTCGCGGTAGATGGAGGAGGAGGATATCGGTAGTGTTGAAAACAGCAACAGTGATTTTCAGGTTTCATCCCAAGCGTCCGTTTCTCATGGGAAATACGTTTCATCTCAATTGAATATCCCGGCCTCAGAGCTTCTGGATCTCGCAAGGCAATGCTCGCGGTCGGTCCGTACTCCATGTCAAGGAGAATTGAGCGGAATAGTGTTGAAAAGTTCCAAAGCATATGTAATGTACTCCGAACCCTTTTCGATTCAAAAAAGCCCATACGCAGCCTCCAATATCAGAAGCGTTTTTTTTCGACGGATCTTCACCTACGGCGTACTGAAAACAGTGGACACGATCCTAGTTTATCCAGCTGACACACATCCTCGATGTTCCTGAAGCATCAAGCATTGTCTAGCATGAAGCACACGAGCAGAGCCCCAGACTCCCGAGGAGTTGTCTTCGCGCCATCTACGAAGGTGTACGCCCGCCGTGACATTCGGTAGGACAGCGATGCTGCTATCGAACCTTGGCTAAGGAGTTGCTATGGCGACCGAATTTCATTCTCAGAATCATCCGGGACGTCGTGCTTCGGAACAATCATAAATCTCCCCTCCGAGGCAGATGACGCACGCGCGCTCATTTATTGAAGGTCTTTAGCGAAATTCGGAATTTATTCCGCGAAACTTCAATCTCCCCTTGTCTAATCGACGATGGGGATTGCATGCAATCAAAGGGGAAAGATTTCAATGAGCTCGCTTCAATATCGAATATATTCGAGAATCTCCGCTAATCAGTGGGGAGGCGATAGGGCCGAACGTTTTCAGACTCGAGGACCGTCACGGTGAATTCTTCTATTCAATACAGGATAATAGCATATTCGTGTGCTCCAAATCAGCGCTCCATATCAGGCGAGGAATGTACTACTACGACGGATAGACTCGACCGATCCCATAAACCCTGGGGTTTGCGTTCTGGCTCGAGTCTCCTTCTCAGGGTTCGTCCGATCCCTATTGGAGGGATCTAGACGTACGTGCGATACGATATAGCCAAGATGACCGTACCCTACATCTATGATCCAGCGGTGTGGAATTCCTGCCTCGTGAGCTCGACAGATGATTCCGATCGTTGTCTGAATCGAATCATGTTCGTATTCAATCGAATTGCAGTCGGAGTATCGGGCCGATGAACATTCGGGAGTCCCCGGTTGACCTGCAGTAAGATCTGGCCGTCTTCAGCGCTATGAAAGAGACCAATTCGCTCGGCATCAGAGACCCAACTCCGCGAGTAGAGATTTCCCGCCTTTCCGTGACGCTTGAGTGGATCATAATACCCCCTCCTCTATCCTCCCCCTGAACTCTCCTCGCCTGGTGTATGATGTGTCGAGTCATTAGGGGAAGATGGTAACGGTGGCTAAACTCCTCCAACTCGGACGCGGGACCCTGCTGACGTGATTCACGGAGCCCGCCATCGCTCGAAAGATGCCCCTCTCCACATAAACAGAGAAAGAACATTGGACGCACGTGGGGCTAGCGATCTGCTCTGTTCGAAAAGTTCGTGCCTGTGAAGTCTGAGAACTGCTGACTGCAGGTCATTGAGCAGGTTCCATAAATCGTGCCGTGTGTAGCCCTGAGGCGAATGAAGTGTGGAAGATGGGTAGGAAAATACCGAGCAAGAAGCACAACAAGCTAAAATCCGTAGACCCTTTCAACAGGAAACCCAACTCCGCCGCATTGCAAGGGTGCGTGTCAATATTGAATGCGTCAATTAGGTATTGAGATCATATGTTTCGCTCAAGTGCCGCCTCTGACTCCTGTGTTGGCCGCGCAGAAAAGACGATCTGAAGAACAGAGCGCCCAAGAAATTGACACAAGAGGCTCCCAGCGCTTTGAAACGACTCTTCGATGTGGATGAAGAGCCCTCCCAGAGAAAAAAGAAGAAGAGGAGCTCCAGAATGACAGGTTAGTGGGAATGTCCGTCTCCGAAGGAGTGCAGGGATTAGATTCTGGATCTTTAAAAAAGAGAACTTATTTTCCTTCCAGTGCAAACCGTGAACCACCGAGAGGAAACCACCGCGATCGTCGCTCAGAATGAGTATGAAACGGACACACAATTCCTGCGGAGGTAGGATACTGTCAGGGGTATCTCAAAGGAGAGAGGGGTGTCTGAGAGCTCTTCTTACTTAAAATTTTCGGCACACCGCTACATATGCGAGGGAAAGGTCGATAATCATCGATCGCCTCGTTCCAGGGTATCTCAGATGGCTAATCGAGCTCGCGAACAAGCCGACATATCACAGAAGTTCGATGTCCGCTTCAAAGAGGACGGCACTGCGGTTCCCGACGCACCGCGGGACTTCGTTGCGCCCTCACGGTCCAAGAGGTGATACGAGTTGGTATACCACACATACATAGACTAATGCCGCTTCATCGGCGAACCACGCGCCATCAGCCGAGCAGCAGACTCTGACACGACTATTCCTCGCAGACGACTGCAAAAGCTCACCGAGAGGAAGAAAGCGAAACGACTGGCGAAGGGAAAGATAGCTCCCGAAAAGATTATCAGAGAATTTCCCACGAAAAGCGAGGTGGCGTTCGGGGAAACTGTTCATGCACCCCCAGAAATCACAGCCAAAGTCCGAGGTATGGTGGGGGACGGATTTTTGTATAGACAGCGTCTTTCTCTCGGAGACTTCCTTGAGCTTGGTCAATCACTAAATCATGTATACACATATACCTTCAGGCGCAGCGGAACGGGATCCCAAGCGAACTGCGGCGAACCTCCTCTGCAACCCTGGGAAGAGCTCGGAGGAGAGGAAGAAAATTATCGGCGATAGACCCGCCGCCGAGAAAATCCGTTGGAAGAACTTGGAACAGAGCAAGCGACAAGAACTCGAGGAGGAACGCAAGCGAGTTGTGGAAGCCTATAGGAAATTGAAGAGTAAATGAAGTGTCGAATCATTCAGGACTCTTCCTTCGACCCCGCTCATTCACGCTCGGTACTCCAAATGCTCCCATCCCTCCCAGGAAGACGCGACGCCGTCAATCCACCGATCTCCAGGTCGTCGGGGGCAGATCAGAAAGACGTTCCTTAGAGAGGGAGGTCGCTGAACGTCTCGGGGTTCGAAATTCGGACATCCATGTTTATCCCCTCTCCTTGAGCTCGTCTCATCATTTCTGATCTGTAACAGATCTGAAGGTGGAGGACAAAACGTTGTTCGTCGATATTGAATAGGGACAGGATATTCACGATACTTATATTCTTCGGAGACGGAGAACATCCCGAGGATGAGCGGACGATGGAGTGAGAACCACTCACCAGGAATGAACCCCTACATCCTTGCAGCATCTTTCGAGCGTTCAGCACGATACGTTTGTAGCACCTTCACGCGGCGCGCCGTTTCGGTATGCAGGGAGAGGCGTGGAGTTCCCATTGATCCACCGATCTCATCGATTGAATTCCACTCATCAGGCACCACATCGAGTTGAGCGCCCGCTATGTGATTCGGGGCACGATACTTATATTCATAAAATCGGTATCGAAGTACCGTGGATCCGAGGTAGGACGAGGAGACGGGGTTATTTCCCTCGTCTCGAAGACGTTCGTATTAGATCCGACGACCTCCCTGAGCCTGAATCACGGGAAACTATTTCGCGGACCTGAACTGAGCCCGCGAAAGGGTCTCGATCTCCTCCGAGGTCCCCCCTCGCCTAACTGCACAATAAAATCGAGAAACATCTCCCTCGACTATGATGGCTCATTCCGCACTTTCGCTCTGTCTTCCCGGGTCATAAGCTCTCCAACATGGACGGACTCGATAGTACCGCTTAATCAAGGAGGAAGTAGAAGCTGGCTCGCCGGCGTCCAATCGGTACTCTCCGATCTGATCGCTGCCATTTTTCTCACGCGGAAGAGTATTCCGAACCCTCTGAATTGATAGAAGCGGCCAAGTCCCGTACGAACACAGGCTAGAAGAGCCCATGCTCCGCGGAACAATCAGCCGGCGACATCTTGCGACCAGCAGATACCGTTTGAAGATTTCTGAGATGGAGTTCCATTTACGCTGAGCTCTGCTTAAGCTCGGCGTCATCATCGGAGCTCCATCTTCATCTACTCGATCATCAGCAGAAGAGGATCTTGTGCCGTATAATCGGAGTAGGAACGACCGAATTTCCGCCGCTCCTGCTAATAACGTATTGTGGGAATGTATGGTCCCTTCCGGGAATTAGTCCGAACTCAGCCCACAGCTAGGTAGGAACATCCTAGAGATAGTCCCGACCGGCTGCCGCCATTCGAGAGACGGGCGAGGGGAAGACATCGGAACTCGGAGAAGTGAAATGTGCACAAGAGACGACTCTTTTTTTCTGTTTCGCGCTTCGGTAATCTCGGTGCTACCCGTTGAGCCGAATGAAATCAGTGAACGACCCCTGAATAGACGTATACATCAATCCTACAATATCAACTCCTGCTCTGGCGGTGCTTGAAGAAAAGCAGAACTCGGACGCCCCAGGATCTGAAAATCGCGCAATATGGGGATTTGAGAAATTTTCCAAGGAAACATTCCATCTCTCCTAATGGGCTGACCCCGATCTTGTCTGTGGGTCAATCTTCATTCAACCCTTGCCCGTGATCTACTGTTGTGGTTCCCACACGCCGGGGCAGATGATAAGGTAATTAGCGAGCGAGTGTCTCCACCATCGCAGGGAAATATAATAACGACGAGCACGAAATACATCCGGTCTGTTATCGATCCGTTAATCCGAGTCAAACAGAATGACATACAGGAACCCTTCACCAGAGCATCGATATGCGTGCGCGCGTGCATCCGGCGGACTGTACGTGACTACGAGTCCAACTACCGACGATAACCCAGGAGAGAAGGGAATGGTGCCCCTAGACTTTGAACAGGACGCGGCCTGAACGCACCCCAGCAGATCTCATGTCACTTGTATAACGCTGTTCGACCAAGCCGGTGCTGTAGTTCTGATTAATAGGTAGCTCGGGAGTGAAATACCCGACATTGTTCTGTGACTCGGAAGTGGTGATCTCGAGAGACTCCAAAGTTTCAACCTGAAGCATGAGAGTGACTCGGAAAATCAAACGGAACCTAAGCCGAATCGGTCAATGGGTCGCTGGCAGTGGCGATTTCGAAAACCTCTCAAGAAAGAGCGCGGTAACGCCCGAAGGCAACGGAAACCCACAACGCTATCATCGCTCGCGATGCGAATCCGAAAGAGTGTGGATTAGTACTCTCTCATTGCTTGAGTCAACAGCTCCGGCACGCTGTCAAGGTACGGAATTGCATGCAGCTCCTCCAGGGTGATTAGGATCAGCTCACCTATTCGTGTACTAAAATTTGCTCCGTGAACATCACGTTGCTCACGCAGATAGGCTGAAGCTGTTCAGCCAGGCTGCTTGGATCACAGTAGTGCCTGGTGCTGGGTCTTCTCGGTGCTGAATGCTCTAGGCGATAACATCGGAATCGTAGATAACCAGAATGGCTATAAATGGAAACTTCTGTATCGAGTTCGTGTTCACGAATTCAATTACTTCATCGGAGTATATTTGATCGGCAACGCTCGGCAAGGATATCGAAAGATAGAGAAAGAATACATCTTCAAACAACTGGATTCCTCTCCGTATTTTTTTCGGATCATCAGCAAACAAGCCGAGCGCGAAAAAGCAATTACAAAGCATTTATATATGCCACCGAGCGTCGACGTCGGACGGTCTGAACGGGAAACACATGAAGTGCTCGCGAAACCGATGGCAGAGGAAACAGTTCAGCCCAAATTGTACGTATTTGGCAAGTGACAGATATGTTTCGAATGTTAGGAACCGCGCTCGATGGAACGGTTTCGCCTGCGGTAATAAGGATCATGTCTGACGAATTTGGCTGTCATCAAATATCTACTCGGGGAATCGGAAGAGGGCAGAAAGATATCCCGCGTGAATCCGATCCCTGAAAAAGTCAGGAACCGGCCGCTGGCAAGCGTCTCGGTATCAATCAAGTCCAGAGTCCTGCGCGACTTACTACGGCCGCAGAGCAGTAACTTCGATAAGGCGATGCATATTCCCTCGATTGTCTTCTCTGCGCATCGCTCTGCGACACCGCCACGCGGGTCCGCAGAATTGTATGGTGTTCTTGCAGTGATGTGCAATCCATGGTGAAACCCATGCTGCATTCTCATGAGTTTATGCTCAAGCGAGCAATGCAATCGGTCGCTAGTCTTGAGAGAACAATAATTACTGTATTCCCCGACCGATGCGACGTCCGTCCAGTTTGTCCGAAAACACTTGGTATCCGATTGCTTTGTTGCATGGTACGGACACTTCGACATCAGTTCCAGGTTCACAATGCCTCGACGGCCGCCAACAGCACACCCAAGTCCGGGACCACAAATTCCGATAATAATAGTGATAATAATAATCGAAGACCCTGTCCACCACTAGCGGATCTTCGCTTGATCTTTTTTTTCACCGGAATTCCCCTCTTTTCCCCGTAGGACTCTATTCTCTCGCTTTTCCGACAGTTGTTTACTCGCAGTCGCCCCGCCGAAACCATCGGCAACCCCGGTATTGTCCATCGCGTACAAAAGGCCGTTTTACGTTTGGGGGAAAAATGAAACGGGAGTGGTTTGGGTTGAGTCGACGGAATCACAGCCGGAAGTTGATGCATCGAGTGACGAACCACATTTAACGAAAAAATAAACTGAAAACATCCCTGCCTGTGAAATACTGATACACGTCCGCTCGATTGTGATTTACGACATCTTCGTACAGCAGGCGACTCTTTCTCCCTCCTCCCCACAGAGAGAGCGAAGCACTGCATCCCTGAAGACTCCGGAGAGGATTCAATCCTCTGCTTTGTTTGCCCACACCACGGAGATTTCCCGGGCCGCCATCGATTACTGAATTTCTGCGATTCGGTACGCGTCCCCGGAGGTCCAGAGCTTGGAAGCCACGGATGATTCTAGCTACCCGTAGGACGAGCTAGCGGTTGTCCATTTGCCCGTTCGGCGGCATGGATATTTCCTATATTTATCCTGGCAAGTCATTCCGCTGTATCTGTCCCAAACGTTCGATTCAGCGAAGGGGAAGCGATCCGGAATCCATTACAGCTCGTGACGACTAGTTCAACGACGCTGTCGTCGTCGCCAGCGTCATCGAAGTTCGTAAACTCTTTTGACACAAGTGGAAAAAGCTTCAGTGTCTCTTTCGACAGATAGCATCGCTGGAGGAAATCGAACTGATCGCGGCTTAATATTTTCTTCTCCGCTCCGACTGCTCGCTAATATGAAATCTTTCCCGCCGGCTACTGTCGAAGGAATTCGTTCGAAAAAGGCGTCGAACTTTCGTTTTCACGACCCTTGAGCGATAAATCTCACATGGAACAGATACATGGACAGATGAACTACTGCACAATGCCCGACCGGACAATTAGTCGGAGCCGCGGGATCGAGACTTAAAAATCCAAAGCTCAATGAAGAAATCGAAGCTCAGTGATGAAAGCAATGCCGAATTTGTCGCGAATTTCCCGCCGATTCAATCCGACTGAGACGTGAACGTGCTCCGATCGGCTGAAATATTGGAGCTCAGCTCTAGAAACCAATCTGGATAAGTGTTACATGCCCCGTAGATTCCATCGCGGTCGCTCATTTGAACGAGCACAAAGGCGGGAAGAGAAACTATTTTTAACGAATGCCACCATGAAAAGTGTCTATTGCCGGCTCGAAATACCGTCGTACTGGTCGATCAAGCGGAACATTCTCACCGATCGAGACCGATATCTGGTACTGTATAGACCGCCGCTAAGCAGAGCGAGTGAGCAGTCGAGCAAGGAATTCCACAGACGGATAGAATGGCGTACAGCGTGACGTCTTGTGAGAAATCACTTCCAAAACAAGCTGGCGAAAATTCACGGTCGACTCGTGTCGTTTTGCGAAGTTTTTAGCGG